AAAGAAAAGAAGAGGATGTCTCTCTCCACAAAGCCCATTTTAGAGTGACAGAAGAAGCACCTGCTCTATGATAATATTGGGGGACCTGAACACACCTCTCGGAATTGGACAGATCATCTAGGCAACAAGTCAACAGAGTAACCATTACCCTTTCAGAAGGAGAGAAGAAATCTAGGGTTATCAGTGGTGGGAGTGGGGAGGGAAAGAGGCTAGGGAGAGAATGGACAAGGGGCATAAAGAATAAATACGATTTGTAACAATATATATGCTAGTAATATTGATTTGATCAACATATGTCAACGCTGAACCCCAAAAATATGTATAATCAATTATGATACAATAAAAATTAAATAAATAAATAAAATAAAAACAATACAATAAATAAAAACAATAAAATATAACACAAATAAAAAACACAGCATAAGTTATTTACATGGCTTTTACATTGTATTAGGTAATATAAGTGATCTACAGATGATCTAAAGAGGACGTGCATATTTTATATGCAAATATTTTCTATTGGGGACTTGAGCATCCTCAGATTTTTGTGCCTGTGGAGGTCCTGGAAGAGATCTTTCTCAGATACCAAGGGACAACTGTGGATGCATTCATTAACACAATCATTCATTTAAAAACACTATTAAGGCCTATTTAGTCCTAGATAGGCAAGTCCCCTGTCCTCATTGAGCTGACATCTTTAGGGGGAGAGACAAACGGTAAGCAACTAAACAAACAAACAGGAGAAATAAAATTGTCACAAGAGCCATGAAGAAAAGAAAATAGTGCACCGTGAGGGTTGGGGCAAATTTTAACAGAGTGGACAAGACAGGTGTCTTTGAGCACGAGGCGTCATGCACAACTTGGGGGAAGAGCATCCAGGAAGAGGAATAAAAAGAAGGGAAGGTCAGTGTGGCTCGTGTGGAGGCGAGGGAGGGAGAAAGATAGAAAATGAGGATGGGGGTAGTTAGGGCCCAGCCCATACTGGGCTTAGTGTCCGTGGTAGCTAGCCTGCTGTCCGAAAGAGGGAAGCCTTCAGAGGGTTTTAGGCAGGAGAGTGATGAAGGATTTTGAAAGAGCACTTTGAATGTGGCATCTCACCCTAACTGTGACCCTAACCACAGAGTGATATGAATATGATTGGCCGTTTCCATGTGCAAACAGTGAACCTTATGTGTGAAGAGGATGACATGTCCAAGTGGCCTCCTTGAGATGAGTTACAACTTAGCCGGGGACTGTTTCCATGTGCACGCAGTGAACCTTACGTGTGAAGAGGATGACATGTCCAAGTGGCCTCCTTGAGATGAGTTACAACTTAGCCGGGGACACCCTTGCCGTTTCCGTTGTTCTCAGTGGGGACACCTCCTTGCCCCCTTGAGAGTTATTTGAATTTACATTTGAATTATTTTAAAGAGACACAAGTTACTTGATGCTAACAATCTGTGGATGAGCCAAATGGATTGATCGTACCATTTTGGATGTAACCCTCATGCCTACAGTGAGGCTGATTTTTTTCGTGTGACTTAAAAATGAGAAATCCAGAATAGTTTGATTCTTGGCAGTGTGAATTAAACAATGTGTGAATCCCTCTGGAGCTGTGTGATGGAGGAAAACCACATGGACTTGGATCCAAATGTCCTGAGTTCAAATGCAGCTCTCCTGCTCCCTGGCTTTGTGATTTGGGCAAGTCCATAACTTCTCTGAGCTGCGGTTCCCATCTATAAACTGGGGAAATGACCCAGACCTTATTTGGGTCTGTTTAGCATTCATCAGGATCCTGTCTCCCACGGGGCCCAGCAGAGAGCCTGGCATGGACTTGGCCATCACATGGGTACTCTCACTGCTTCCCAGAGGTTGCTACTCAAAAGGAGCAAAGTGCATTTGATTTGAATTCTATGGGAAGGAAGCCAGGCTTCATGGTGGTTGAGAGCCACAGCCATGAGGCCACACAGACCTGGCCCTGCCACTTACCTGCAGCATGTCTTTTCGAGCCAGTGACTTAACCTTCCTGGGCCTCAGGGTGCTCATCTGTGAAATGGGAGTCAATAGCAGCAATACCCACCTCCTAGGGCAATGGTCCTCACAGTTGGTAATACATGCATTCAGTACAGTGCCCTACCTAGTCAAAGCTTAGTCGATTCACTGAGTTATTACATTTTCTTCTGACTACAAATGAAATAGGTGTTCAGGGTAGAAAATTTAGAAAACTGCTTAAAACCAGCAAGAAGGAAGTGCATGGTGTTTTCAGTCCTTTGACTTCACAGCGGTGTCACTATGTGTTTCATCTGACCCTCCTCCTCCATGTCACCCACTCCCTCCCCGTTCTGAACTGACAGCTCCCCGTGGGTGACCGTGACCATACTAGGTCTGTGCTGTACCCAGCAAGCTGGGGCCCAGTGCCCTTGTGTTCTATCAACGCCCATGTGTAGCACTGATGTTGACACCTCTCTCAGCAGATCCTTCAAGCCGGACTTCATCCTGGTCCGCCAGCACGCCTACAGCATGGCCCTGGGTGAAGACTACCGAAGCCTGGTCATCGGCCTCCAGTACGGAGGGCTGCCCGCCATCAACTCCCTCTACTCCGTCTACAACTTCTGCAGCAAGCCCTGGGTGGTAGGTGAAGGGCCGGGCTGACCTGGAGGGAACAGGGAGAGAGTGGGTGGCCTTCTGGCCCTGAAATGGGCCCATTTCCAGCATGGAGGCATCAGTAATGAAAAGAATCTTGTGTAAGCAGCTTGGACCCCAGGACTCTTCTTGTAATTGTTGCCTAACAGATGTTATATAATAACATATTATGATATGGTATTATGTTCTAACAATATTGGTCAGAAAGATGTACCTTAGATAATAGCCTATCATCATGTCGTCCTTATTGCTGTCAACAGCGGGCACCGTTTATTGAGCACTTACTATGTACCAGAAACCTGTGTTACTCGGAGCTCATACTGTCACTATTGTGTGGAGTGGGCGTCATTCCTCCATTTTACAGAGAAGAAAGCTCAGCTTCAGGGTGATTAAGGAACTCGCCCTTCAGGGTCACATAGCTACTGAATGGTGAAACCAAAATGTGTAACTCTCCCTCTGTTGGGAGACTTAATTTCTCCCCTTTTATTCATTGGTTTCATGCATTCATTTGATTAACTTGAGTTTCCATCCAAATGTGGCCTGTAAAATAGGCTTTTCCTAAAATAACACCCCCTCCACTCCTTCAGAAACTCTCAAATCCCTTACCCTGCTTTATTTTTTTCTCCAAATACTTATCTCCACCTAGAATGATATGTTTATCCATTCATTTGTGCCTCATCTATCTCCATTACTAGAACTAATTCATTCATGCAACAGATATTTATTGAGCACTTACTATGTTCCAGGTACTGTTCTAAGTCCTAGAAACACAGCAGTAAACAAACTAGACCAGAATCCCTGCCCTGTGGATTTTACTCTGCAGTGGGCAGGGGCACATACAGTGCATTAATAAATATGCCCCGTATGTAATATGTCCTATGATAAGTGCCAAGGGGGAAAATAAAGGAGGGAGGGAGGATACAAAATGAGGAGGTTGGGGGTGTGCAGAATGTGCACTGTGAAGCTCATTGCTGTCGCATCTGTCTTGTTTTGCTGCCTCTCTGTGCAATCGCCTGGGGTGTGTGTTCAGGGTGTGGGCTCTGGAGCCAGACTACCTAGGTCCAGGCTCCTCCACCATGAGCTATGTAGCCTTGAGCAACCTCCTTAACCTCTCTGAACTTAGCTCCCTAATTTGGAAAATGATGATAATAATATGTCCTTCCCAGTAAGGCTATGAGTTAATTCGTGTAAAGTACTTATAGTGGTAGCTGGCACAAAGTGTGCACTCAATAAATGGTGACAATTATCAGTTGGCCCTAGTACCTGGAACAAGTCTATGCAGAGTTGACACTCAGTATTTATTGTATGGCTACATGTGTTCATTTAATAGATATGGATAGTGCTTACCACTACCCACGTTGCCCTGGTCTCCTCATTCTGCCCTTACTGAGCTTTTTGGCCTATGGCATCCAAGATTCAAGTGCCACTGTTAGAAAAGGGTCTAAATGGTATTAGCCCTCCCCCTTGTTTTTCCACAGTTATCGCGGTGGTAGCAACTACAGTTTATTAGCACTCATTGTGCACTGTACTGAGCCCTTAACATCGATGTTTCATCCTTAGGACCACCCTGATGAGCAGGTATTATTAGCAGATATTAATGAGCTAGTATCTCCATTGTACAGATGAGGAAACTGAGGCTCTCATAGCTAGTAGAAAATGGTGGAGCTGGGCCTCCAAAACCCATGTACTGAATTATGGAATTACTTTCCCTCTCTGGACTCCAGTTTCCTTATCTGTAAAATGAGAGACACCCCTATATCATTTCCCATATTGCTGAAGTCTCTCAAACCCTCCAAGTTGACTCCATGTTATGCTGCACCTGTAGGCTACACCCCAGGAGTTTGCAGGCGAATCCTGGGGATGCAGGAAGTTCCTAAGTTACCCTGTTCTCTCTGTCTGGGCTTAGCGTTGAGTGACCCCCAAGTTAGTCTGGCCCAAGACTTTCCCCCCTTCTAACCATTGGGCATCCATATTTGGCCATAAATTTCAGCTGATTCCTTCCTCTTGATCAGAATCTAACTTGCTCTTCCTGGCTTATATTCACCAGCAGCTTTCCTTCTCCTTCTGGGTGAATTCTAAGTTCCTTGGTCCAGGCTTTATGGCTCCTGGTGGTCTGGATGGATCACCCTCCAGCCTCCTCTCTCACTACCCCCGGCACCTGAGGCCATAACCGTGGCAGCCACTGAGGGTCTCTAGCACACACTAGTCTCACTGTACACACGGAGTGACCTTCCTCCTTCTCTATGTCATCTGCTCCAGGCAGTCTTCCTGACCCCCAAACCCTCCAAGTTCCTGGCCTCCTACTTGGTCCCCCTTCCAGGTCCCATAAGCCCCTATGCGTCCCTCCAGCAGACAGTAGCATCTCAACCATGTATCTGCAGCCTGTCTCCCCCAGGTCTGGCCTGCCATATGCAGCTTGTTGCCCTAATAATAGTGTGTAGTAACAGCCCTCACCGTCTAGCTCTGGAGACAATAGCTGATCTATGGCAGAGCAAGGAAGCCCTGAAGCAGGAGAAGCATGGTGGGAAGGAAGGTGGCTTGAGCTGCTGGGAATGAGTGGGGTTGTAAAAGCAGAGAACATGTTTCTTAATAATAACAACACCTAACATTAGAGTGCTCTTATGGACCAGGCAAGGCTTTCAACACATTGCATCCTTACCACAAGTGGGGTTGTAAAAGCAGAGAACATGTTTCTTAATAATAACAACATCTAACATTAGAGTGCTCTTATGGACCAGGCAAGGCTTTCAACACATTGCATCCTTACCACAATCCTGTGAGACAGGCTCTCTCATTATCTCCAACTTACAAGGGAAGAAACCAAAGCTCAGAAACCTGCAGTGACTTCCCAGTTTTCACAGCTAGTAGCAGAGCCAGAATTTAAACCCAGGGAGGCTGGATCCAGAGTCTGTGCCATCAACTACCATGCAGTGCTGCCTCTCTAGAAAGAAAGGCATTGTGGGCAAGGGCATGTCATGAATGTCAGCAGGTTGTACTGTAGACAAAGACCTTGTGTGAGATGCTGAGGGTATAGTAAGTGCTTATTAAATGCAGTTCAGCTGAACCCAGTGTTCTGCCTACTAATTAGTTCTTGGACAGGAATGGAGGGGTTGATGCACCTAGATGATGGACAGGATGAATGTCCAGCCCAGGAATCAGGCCTTTACCCCATAGGCAGGGAACAGCTACTGGAGCTCAGCTCTGAACAATGGAATGCTTGAGGCTCAGGAGCAAGTGGTAGGTTTTGCCATACCGGATAACAGTGGTTGACATACTCTCTCCTCTTCTGTCCTAGTTCTCTCAGCTCATTAAGATCTTCCATACCCTGGGTCCTGAGAAGTTCCCGCTTGTGGAGCAAACATTTTTCCCCAACCATAAGCCAATGGTGAGTGCCTGTTTTCACTCTATTTGTGTTCATGATGCAGAATGAACACAGATGTGTTCTCAGTCCCTTTGGACAGAGGAGATGGGTTCAGGGGTTGCTCCTTGACCACCTGGACTCTAAGTGAGAAGTGCAGTGTCCCGTGGGAATGTCCTGTGGGAATGTCCTATGGGAATGCCCAGGGGAAGTGTCATCTCTCCAGGTGAAATTTGGGCAGTAGGACAAATGACAGGTGGACAGAATCTCTTGGGACCTCAGGAATTTTCAGCAAATCAGGGGACAATTTGAGCTGGCATGTTGGAGACAGAGGTTGATGATAAAGGTAAAAGATGTTTTCAAGGTAGGATGTTATTTCACTTGAGCCCTTTCTGGGACCTGGTTTCAACTCATATTTTAATAAAAAGCGGTAATAATTTACTTGCACTGATTGTGGAAGGGCAGTTTTCTTACGTGTCCTCCTCACTTTCCAACTTTTGAATGCACCTGAGGTCATCTCTGGGAAACAGCTGGGGCTTAGCTCAGAGTACGTGGTACAGCTTTCTATTTGGAGAATTCCTGGGTGGGAGAGGTTAACATCTTTCTGAATGGGGTGGAGCATTCTCCATCTGCAGCTGGAAGATGTCAGGCGTTAGAGTTCTGGGCAGCTGGAAACAGCCCACAGCATGCCCACTTGCATGGTTGGTGGTCTTCTTAAACTGGTCAAAGGAATGCAGGGCGATGGCCCCACACTTGGCCTTGTAGGGAATATGCGTCATAATTAATAGGGTATCATACAGTCCCAGGTGGGGACTATAGCATGTTTGCAGATTCTCAGGCTCAGGCTGCTGAACCAAACTACCCTGTTTGGAGACACTGACGGGTGGGACTACAGCTTTCAGGTGGGATCTGCCTAACCAGGCAGAGGTGTCCCATTGATTATCATTCACCTAAATCTGTTCCAGGGAGAGTCACAGAATCCAGGCTGTACTCGTTGGGATCAGAAGAGCACATGTGAAACTGGCGTATTCCAACAAAGTGTTCACACAGTGGCTAAAATTCAGGGTTTATTATCAAACTGGCCTGAGTGTGAATCCCAGTTTTGTCTACCTACTAGGTCTTGAGCAATGGCTTACTGTCCATGAGCCTCAGCTTCCTCAGCTGAGAACCATGGACGACAGCGCAACTACCTGATCGGGCTGTTGAGATTTCATGCGACCGTGTGTATAAAGCACTGTGCCTGGGAACACAGTGGCTAAAATTCAGGGTTTATTATCAAACTGGCCTGAGTGTGAATCCCAGTTTTGTCTACCTACTAGGTCTTGAGCAATGGCTTACTATCCATGAGCCTCAGCTTCCTCAGCTGAGAACCATGGACGACAGGGCAACTACCTGATCGGGCTGTTGAGATTTCATGCGACCGTGTGTATAAAGCACTGTGCCTGGGATGCGACAGGTGCTAAAAGTAGAGTAGCTTTAAAATAGGGGCATAAGCTGGAATGTTGTCAACAGAGGGACAAAAGTTGGGTGAGGGGTCTGCAGCCAGCCCAGTCCACTGAGGGTGGCAGGCCCAGCAGTAAGCTCTAGGATGGGGTCGCCAGCTCTCGTGGGGCCTCATAAATTCCTGGTGTTCCCAACCTGACTAAGCAGGAATACTCAAATTTCAAGCAGGTGATTGGCATCGAGGACTGCTGTTGGCAGGCCTCTTCTCCCCACCTTTGCCAGGGTGGGATTCTTAGGAAGAAAACAAGGAAGGTTGAGTTAGGGCCCCAGGGGTACCTTTCCCACCAGGGATTACATAGAGATCCAGATTCTGTAGAACTAGGGAGAACCCTAGAGATAGAACCAGGGAGCAAGGTCAGGGCTGGATCTGCAGCCAGGTATCTAGGACACCTCCTGCCAAAGGAGAGAAGTGGGGCAGGGTGGGCCCAACACTGCAGAAGTGGGTGGAGGAAGGGAGTGTACACAGGCCTGGAGAGGCAGGCAGGACAGACTTCCAAGGCCCTCAGGTGTCTATATGACTCCCGATGGCGGTCAGGACATAACAAGGCAGGAGACAGCAGGTGTGTGATAGAAATAAAACCACTTTACTGTTTAGAATAAAGGACACACTATAAAAAGTGAACATTATGCAACATTACAAGACAATATACATTCACGGAATATAAAATTCATAAATAACATGGAGGAAAACTGTAAACAGTGCTACAAAATTTAGCAACAAATACATTCCTTCCAGACAGGGTTTTCTCTGGTTGGTTTCTCTCCATCACTTCTGGGTTTCAGGACAGCAGACTGGGTAGAGGGAAAGGTGGGGACACAAGAGAAACTGAGTATCCCCAAAGCATGAACCATCTCTAAGTTCTTCCTTTCTTCTTACCTCCAAAGAGCCAATTTGGAAGTGGTTGATATCCACCTCTGCTACATCCCCTCATTTTGTTTTGCTTTTGTCATCAGATTTTTATGATGTTTCTCTCTGAGAGCAATACCCTAAGGATATTTTTAGTTTAGGTAGCCAGGAGCCAAACACTTGCATGTCATCTTGGGGTAACCCAAGCTGTGGATCGTCATGCACAAGTGGAAGGGGAAGGGTTGGAGCAGGGAAGGGCTCTGTCTTCTGCAGGCCACAATAATCTCCTAGAGAGAGCTGTTCCAATAAGTCCTTTGTTTTTTTAGTTGTTCAAGAACTGTGATATTGAGAAATGGTGCTCCTGGGCTGTTGCTCGACCAGCATGAGGCAGGTCTGGGGTTGAGAGAGTAAAAGACAAGGGTCTCCTAGTGTTACCTTCCCTGGCCAGATTGGAGCACTGGCCCGAGAGGCAAGAGCCTGGGCGTGTGGCTTCCCTGATTGGGAGGCAGAAGAGATGCCCAGAGGAGGCAAAGAAAACTTGGAATCATAGCTTTCCTGGCCCTGGATTTTTAGGAGAATTTATGGCTTGCCAAGTGGGTGGGCAAAGGGTGTTGGGGCGAAGGGGATGGGAGTGAGTAGCGGACTACTCAAGGCCAGTTGGTGCAGAACAGGGATGTGTGTGTATTTCCTATTTGTTTCCTCCCCTTCCAAATCCAGGAACCACTGGGATTCTGATAGGGAGGAGGCTGGAGGAGCCTCAGTTACTAGTTCCTTCTAGTTTCCCCAGTTTGCCAATCTAGCTGCCTGCCCAGTAGAAGTATTTCGCTCTCCATTCCACTGTAGAATTTGATTCAGGAAAATGGCGGCATGTGGGTTTCATTTTTTTTTTTTCTCTTAAACACAATGTACACATATTACAGCCTACACATGACACAAGATTTAGCAAAATAAAACGTTCATGATATGATTGAAATACAGAAGTGTCTTAGCTACATAAATGACTTTAAATTATACAGTAAGTGAACAGGTGAAATAAACAAAGCTATAGCTTATAGAAAGCTCAAAAACCGCCCTCTGACAACATTGCCTTGTAAAGGACCCTTCTTTGCCCAGGACCTCCTCTCCAAGGCCCAACAGATGGGGCTGTGGTTCTGCCAATTTATCTGCTCTGTGGGGAAACCAGGTGCCTCATGCTCAGGCTTCCCCCCAAGTCCTTCGTTGCCTGAGTGGGAGTGACCACACGGAGGACCGAGAACTGCCAGATACCTCACAGAGGAGACACTGATGTCCACTTGCAGGAGGGCATTTGTGCAGGTTGGGTCAGGGGCTCAATCTTGCGAGACTTGAGGTGAAATGAAGACAATCCCAAAACACCAAGTCTGGGGCACATCCCTTAAAAAGTATTGGCCTGCTGACCTCAGCTCTGACACTGCCCCGTGGGGAGGGCCAAGCCTCCCATATGCCTCCTGCCAAATGGCATGACCACAGGGGAAATGTACAAGGTAATGAAATCAATCCCGAGGAAACCCGATGCCTGTACTGTTTCCCCGCTGTGGGGTTCTGCCAACCACCTTGCCTGGGCATTTGTGTGTGTGTGCGAGACACTACAACGTCTTGTCTGCTTCTTCTTCTTTTTTTTTTTTTCCTACTGTTTCAATTGGCAGCTCTGTTTCCTAAAGTGGAATGAACTGAAAATACAAATACTAATAGAGGATAAATACCCATAATCTGAAAAAATAGACAGAGAACAATCATGTTAAATGTCGCCATCCTACCATTCCCAACTCTGTAAAATACACATTATGATCTATCCTCAGCATCTCACTTTCGACACTAAAACATAAAATAATTTTATTTAATAGGAGAATTTATATTATAGTTTTATTTCAAAAAACACAACAAAAACCCTATAGCTGATTACAGAGTCAGGCTTCCCTAGTGACCAACAATTTTAATTCCACGAGGTGAGGACCTCAGGAGGTGGCATTCACCCACCAGTGAGCTGGGGGAAGAGGAGCAAGGTGTCTTCAAACCCAGGAGAGGTGGCCATCTAGCCAAGGCAGGACACTCTGCAGCTTTCCCTCCTGCACCCAGGCCCCTGGCCCACACTAACTCTCACCTGCTGTCTGAGCCAAGCCAGTAAGGCAGTTAAACGAAGGCCCCCCAAAACGAAGCAGGAGAAAAGGAGAGGACAAATGACCCCAGTTATGGGGAAAAGAGGGTGCTGAGGGTGTTCAGAATTTCAAATTTTAATTGAAATGAAAAAAGAAAAAAGTCAACTTGGAATGTCATGATTTTCTTCAAACAAGCAACAACAACAAAATAGAAGAGATTAAACTATTGGTGTATTTAACAGCATTGAACAGAATTCTGTGTCCTGTAAAAAATTAGCTTATGTCCCCGCATGGGTATACTGCAAATGTGTATACAAACACATCCCCCTAGGTGAGCTAAACACTACTTTGGAAATAGTATTCTCTACCCAAATCTACTTGGCTATATCTGTGGATAGTGTACGGTGTGCACATTTCTCCAATTTACATAAAGGAAGCTTCCAGCCAAATCTACCAAAGAGTTTTCCAGGAGGAAATCTTATGGGAGGTGGGGAGAGGAAAGACATTCATCTCAGTCTTTCACCTGAGCATTTGTTCAAGGCAGGCAAATTGCCTCCTGACCTCAGGCGGATGTTTAAGTCTTCACCAACTAAGAAAGCTCTGTTATTCTGGCCTGGCTGACTGCTCCAGACTCAGAAACTTCTGGTCAACCCAAGCATCGCGGGGCTGGGGAAAGTGTGTGTGTGCTGCAACATCTCAAACCCTCTCTTAGCGTTTCTTCCTTCCCTCCCTCACTGTGACATGCAGACACAGACAGACACGGTCTGGCTGGGATATGCAGTAGCGTGTCCTCGAGGTATGGGGTCTGTCGCGTACCTCAAGTCTATCTGCTTACCACTTTTGGCTGATCCCGAAATAGTTGGCCTTTCAGCGCCTTCCATGTCTGTGTCCTTTATGTACTGGGGCAGAGGAGAAGGGCAAAGGAGGAGGGTCTGGGAGATGGTGAGGTGGGGATGAAGAAAGAGGGGTAGTTATTACAATGCCCAAATAGGGTAGTCTTTCAATTTTTGTTTTCCTAAAAAAATATAGATTATATTATCACGAAGAAGAGGAGTATGCTTTCCTCATTCTTTCTGGCATGGCACCAGAAATTCCTAAGTGGAAATGAGTGATGTCAAAACCAAAAAGAAGGGGTGGGGTGGGACCAGGAAGATAGTTCCAAATAAACTCCATAGGCCAGCATAGACTTTTCTTTAAGTGTTCGAAGTGCTAAATTTGCAAGAAAACAGGCACTAATTTCATTGTCATCATCTGGGAAGAGTTAGTGTCCGAGGGAAGCTCAGCAGGAAGGGAGGGAAGTGAGGTGGGGCAGGGTCTGATGCTCAGGGGTCTGTGGCATTGATGATGCTTTTGTCTGGGGGGGCCCATCCTCGGTACCAGCTGCAGTAGCCACCCTTCTGCTGGATGCAGGCGTAGTGTTTGGACTGGTAGCCAGGGTAGCCGAAATTGGAGAGCATGTCGGTCCAGAGACACTCATTCTTGGAGGTCACAAAGCAAGGCAGATAGTAGCAGGACTTGATCTGCAATTAGATAACAGCCAAGAGTTGGTGGACTCTACCATGGTGGGCCCAGGCCTAATGCTGCTGGAGTCTGGATTCAGACCCTGGGACCACTGCAGGGGGAGCCCAGCCACACCACCCCCTAGTGGCAATAATAGAAATAGCACTGACATTTATTAGAGTGCTTCTATGTTATTCTCTTTAATTCTCACAACAATTTTATTTCCCTTTTACAGATAAAGAAATAGAGGCTCAGAGAAGTTAAGTAACTTGTTCCAGGTCACACAGCCAGTAAGTAGCAGAATTAGACATTTCAGAGGACTTTTTCCTCTCAAATGGTAACAGGCAAGGATGGGAGATCTCTGCTTTTATGAGGAACTGAGAAATTGGAAAGATTAAAGCATAAACTTTAGAGTCCAGCTGCCTTGGGTTAGAAACCAGACACAGTAAGCTGTGTGGCCTAGGGCTAGTTACTTAAGCTCTCTGAGTGTCTATTACCTCATCTGTCTAAAATGGGGGTAATCATAATTAAAACTGCCCAGAGTTGTTTTGAGGATTAAATGAAAGAGTAGCCCAACTCCTTCCCATGGCAGGAAGCCTGGGCCTCAGCCCTCTACTTGGATCAAGGGTTGTGCCTGGTTCAAGAGAGACCTTCTATGCATCTGGTGTCAGCAGTTCTGTGTCTGCTTGTCCACTTGGAGCAGGAGCCACCAATGAGTCAGCTGCCAGGGTGGGGCCACTTGGCACCATTTGGCAGGACTGCCAATGTAAGGATCCTGTACCTGTCATAGCCTTGAACCACCAGGAGGGGCCGGGGATGCTGAAGAGCCCTCGTGCCCCTGGGACAGGCGTCAAGGAGGCGGCAGGCACCGCGGAAGGCATTCTTCCCTCACCTTCTTCACTGCCCAGCCTGGGGCAACATTCCTTACCAGCTCTGCTCAAACCTGCCCCTCTGCCTGGCCCAGCACACAAGTGCCCTTCCCAGCACAAGGACCCAGCGCCCTGTACAGCAGGAGTGGAAGGTTCTGGGGCTGCAAGCCAGGGCCTCCGCCCCGCTCCCAGGGCTCACCTTGCAGTTACAACCCAGGTGATACCGATAGTTCAGCCCCTTGCGCTGGGAAAGGGTGAGCTGGTCCCACCGCTCCACGAAGTTGCACAGCCCTGTGTACATCTTGCCATCGTAGACACGGCCTAGAGGAGGAAAGAGGATGACAAGGGGACAGTTGTTTTCTCCAGAGCCCAGCCAGAAGGGAATAAATTCACACCCATGGTGTTCCCACTTAGGTACTGTGCTAGGTACTTTGCAGGCCCATGATTTTATTTCATCTGCACCAACACCTTTTAAGATAGATGTAGCCCCATTTTCCAGATGAGGATAATGAAGCTTCCAAACCCATTAAGCACTGGAGCCAGGACTAAAGACCAACTCTTCACTCCCCTCATGACAGTTTTTGTTTGTTTTGTACTTTGCTACATTGACCACCTAAAGGTGTACAACTTTCAAAGATATCGACCTACCAAGTTGACTGTGAGGTGGAAAGCAGTTTATCTATAGTAAAGCTAAGAAACTGCAACATTAGTTCAGGGTCAGTGGTGGAACTAAGGTTACAACCCAGCCTAAGTGTCAATGCCTCAAGCTCTTAGCTGGGACGCAGGATGGATTTAACATCAGATACTCCTTACGACTCACTAGGCACATAGCTAGTGTCCTCAGAACCCTGGCCAGACTCTGGCCTGAAGGTAAGAGTTGCCTGTTACCTGTCAGCAGGTACTGGTACTTGTTGACCTCCAGCTTAAGGCCACAGAGGCTCTCGGAAGCTTCCGTGTGGATGTACTGCACGTGGGGCATCTTGGAGAAGCCTCGGTACATCTGTAGGCAGAAGGACATCATGAGAGGAGTCCCAGGGCCCAGAAAGCAAGTTGTCATGTGGTCTAAAGAAATCTGGTTCCACTATTAGGCCATCCAGTGGCTGGCCACTGACCTACCCACCCCAGGGCCCCTTTACCCCAGATGCAGTCACTGGTTCTCTTTTCCAAGCCATGGCTGGGAAGCCTCCCAAGGAACCCTCCTGTCTAGCCCATCCCACCCCCACCACTGTTGCAAAGGCCCTGCAATACTCCTACACCTACACATTTCTCAAATCCCAACACCTTTTCAGAAATCCAAATAAGTTGCTGAGAAAAGGGTCCTCCTTCTCTGTTGGCCTCAGGACCTGAGCTCTAAGAAGACAGCCAGCCAGCACTCACGTGACGTCTGTGTGACACTTCCCAGTGCACAAGAGCATTCTCACATTCCCCTCATGGGATCCTCACAAGAGCCCTAGGAGGCAGGTATTATTAACCCCATTTTACAGATGAGGACTCTGGCAGAGATTCTGTTTGGCTGGCAAAAGTTGAACTTGGGCCAGGGATTCTCCATGTTTTTATTCTTCTGAGCATTGGATGAAGGCATCGGGTTTACCCCCCAGCACACAGGCCCTGGACCACTGGTGGTCTCTGGGCCTGTCCTAAGGGTTCACAGTAGGACATTGTCTCTACTTTAGTTCCCGGCATGCGTTATTCATTCACTTAAGGTAATTCATACAAAGCCAGACATCACCTCATTGGCGTCTCATCTCACTGCCTCCCATGCAGGCTGTTTTTTTGCTCCTCATCTTTTTCTAAGTAGAGGCTGGCTGGCAGGGGTAGGCAGCCCACAGGGACCTTTACATCTTAAAGTTCAGAAGCCTCTGCCTTGTTTAAGGGGTGATGGAGTTTGGATGTGTTGTCCCCTCCAAAACTCATGTGGAAATTTATCCCCACTGTGGCAGTGTTGGAAACTGATTAAGTCATGGGGGCGGATCCCTCATGAACGGATTAATGCTCTCCCTGGGGGAGGAGGGATTAATGAGGGAGTTCTCGCTCTATTAGTTCCCGCGAGAACTGGCTGTTTAAAAAGACCTGGCACTTCCTCTCTCTCTCTCTTGCTTCCTCTCGCCATGTGATCTGCTTGTACCCACCAGCTGCCTGCCACTTTCCACCATGAGTAGAAGCAGCGTGAGGCCCACGCCAGATGCAGCTGTCCCAGAATCATAAGCCAAATAAACCTCTGTTCTTTATAAATTACCCAGTTTCAGGTATTTCCGTTATAGCAGCACAAACAGACTAATACAAGGGGTGTGCTGTTCTGGGGAACTCGATGGTCTTTCTGCACCACTCTTCTTCCCCAGTCTTGCCAACTGAACAAGGGACCGCAGCCATGTGCTTCAAGAAGCACTGTCCACACTTGGTGTTGTTCTGCCGCTGGGGAGCAGGGGTGTGCCAAGCCCCAATGGTGACTTCCTCGGCCGTGGATGGGGCCTCTCTGGCTTTAACAGGACCGGTGTTTAAGAGTGCTGCTGTGTGCATGCCATCGAGTGTGGACTTCGAAGAACATTCCTACACTTAGTTCTGTGCTGAGCAACTGCTCATTTTGGCGTGGGTGTTCCTTGAGGTTTTGGCAAATGTTTCAGCTAAGCACTCGCTCTAGGTCCTTTGGGCCCAGCCTATTGGAACCTCAGTTCATTGTGCGTCAGTCTTTCCTCTTCACCCCTCTCTACTTTGCGGGTGAGATGTGAGCCTGCATTTCGAGTCCGGTGACTTGAACTGCTCTGTAAGAACTTGGCTCCTTGAAATCAGCGCAGCATCACTGCTAGTTTTAAGTCTGAAGGAACCTGTATTTTAACATGGCTCTAGCACTTGCACAGAGTCAAAATTTTAACACATTACAGATAACTGGGTCTGACAAAACCGTGCTGCATTTCAGGGTCAATTCTGAAAATAACAATATGGTAGAGGTAGATTTTACTCATTTAGTTGTCTTTTCTTTATAATAATCCTGTCTTGATCTAAATATTGTCCCTAAAAGGGTTATTACATCTGCAATCACAGAGATCTAGAATTGGTTTGATAAATTTAGGAGGGTTATAATAGGTTTACCATGCCCTGAAGTCAGAGAATAATAGAATCTCAGAATTGGAAAGGATGTTAAAGGTAGTCTAATCCAGCAAACATCATAGAGGACTCGTGGTAAATCCAAGATCTGGAGACAAATTGCTATACTCTGAATCTTGACTCTGTCACTTATTAGCCACTTGGAAAGTTACTTAGCCTCTTTGGGCCTCAGTTTCTTCATCTGTGAAATGTGGCAAAGTACTTACTTCATAAGGTGTTTTGATAATTTAATGACTTAGAATAGCACTTGGCATACAGCACTCAGTAAGTGGTCTTAAAACCAGTGATACTAACATTCATAAGAAGAGACAGAAAGGGTTTGGTCCCCTTCTTCCTAAGTGTCTCTGCCCAACTCATCTGTCAGCAGAAGTAGTTAAAGCTAGTTCAGAACCTCAGACATAGGCAGGTTATTCTTTCCCAGCTGGGCTCTACATGCCTTTGGGCTCCCCTTCTTAGTAGTATCTAACAAAGTTCCAAAAAGTTAGCTTCTTTTGGTGTAAAGGGGCAAATAATGTAAAAATAAGTTTAAAGAGTTTCTGAGTCTGGAAGAATTTGCATATTTCTTATGAAATACCTGGTCTTTGCTCTACATTGACAGCATGAAGTACCATCATTAGGTCAGATGTTTCTTGCATGCCCACCAAAGATCAGAACCATTCTGAATGCTGGTTTATATCATGAACTTATTGACAGTCCAACAGTCCAAGCAAATGGGGTCTAGAGACATTAGGCACCTGACTGAGACTTTATATCATGAACTTATTCTTATTGACAGTCCAACAGTCCAAGCAAATGGGGTCTAGAGACATTAGGCACCTGACTGAGATACCAAGTGCATTGTCTTCCTCTCACTGAACAGGCCGGGGAGGAACAGTATGTGAAAATGGAGTGAGTCTCTGCAGAGGACTAACTGAGAATCTCGGACCACGAGGAGCCACAGGCATTGGGAGGAAGGGAATGGCTCCCTGTGGCTGGGGGTCAGAGAGGCTTGTGGCAGGAGCCTCAAAAGCAAGACCTCTTTGCTCATTTGATTAAACAAACCACTGAAGGAAGAAATCCCCAGGGGCCAAGCATTCTGATTTCCCAGCAGATCTGGACATGCAAAGCATGTGACCAGCAGGTCTCCCCATGAGCTTCTCCCAGGACCAGCTGGGACATAATGTCCCCCACACGCTGTCCCCTGCAGCCAGCCTGAGAACATGTCTCCACTACACTAATTACAGCTCCTGGCAAAGTAGACTGCTTTCTCACGGTCCTGATGGGAGAGAAGGTCCCCACATATTAGAGCAGCCAGTTCTGGAAACTTCCACCTTTGCACCACAGCCCAGTGCCTCAGCCCCAGCTAATTTCCAAGTGTGGGTTTACAATAAACTCTCTCGACATTCTAATACCCTCATGTCCCTCATACACACCGCCCCCTGCCGTGGATCTGTGCACACTTGAGGGGTGCCTGAGAGATGGATCAGAGGCTCCAGAGTTAGCAGATGGGAGAGGGTCTGCCTGCCTTTCATCCGAAAGAAAAGAGAGAGGTCAGACAGGGCGGGTTAGGTTCTCACGTTATCCAAGTTTCTTGAGTCCTGCTCTAAGGGAGCCCTTGCTTACCCCGTCTGACTCTCTGGGTAGACTCTCTAATCCACTAGAACAAAGCCTCCCAGGGACCAGTGCCAAAGCTCATGCAGGCTTTCCTCTCTGGCTGCTCCCCCTTCCCTCCTACAGAGATTTTTCTGATACACCCTTTGCAGGATATTGCAAGTCTGGAGCTACACTGCTGGATGACAAACCAACAAACCCAAGCGGACCTCTTTTTGTTTCCTGGGGGGACTAGATATGAGTAGGCTGGGGGTAGCCCCCAAAGTGGATGGGAAAGATGAATCAGCTTGCTGCTCCCCTGCTCTGTTATTTCCCTGTAGGCAAAGACCCTATAGTTTTGCTCCAGTTTCCCACTTTCTAGCCATATGGCCTTGACTGTTATACAACCTTCCAAGTCAGTTTCCTCACCTGGAAGGCAGAGTATAATGAGTAGCTATTTCGCATCATTGTTGTGTGGACTCATCTATGCAAGAGCTTAGGAGAATGTCTGGCGTGTGGCAAATGGTACGTAGTATTATAATAAATATGACAAGTATTTCCTTTGCATCCCCTGCTCTCAGCACAGTGCTAAGCACAGAGAGGGTGGGACGGAGGGATGGGAGGATGGACCACTATCCTTGCTCCTTGTCTGCACCTTCTCTGGTTTTCAGGCTGGTACCTGAAGACCAGCAGAATCCATTGGCTTCTCTGGATAGAAAGACAATGACCAGTTCTATGGGTCATAATAGTGGGCGGTAGGAAGGTCAGAGTTAATAAAGGGCATTAGATAGTGACTGATGATAAAAGTAAGGTGGCAGGGAGATTTTTGGAGTCATATACAGAACACTGGACTGGGAAGGAATCCTGATACCTCAGTTTGGGAACCAGATCTTCCCTGAACTGAATGCATGACTCTGGGCAAGTCATCTCCCCTTTCGGCCTCTGTCAGAAGTAAGATGAAAGATTTTGCAGCTAACGCCCAGTGCCCTGACTTCATGAGCCTTGGTGAAGGGTGGTGAAGAGAGAGCCTAAGCCCACTACCTGGGAGTGGGATGTGCGCTCTGAAGCTGATGGGCGAGCAGATGTTATCTGGTCTCTGAACAAGCCCAGCGGCTGGTCTGACACCAGTGAGGGGGAAGTAGGACACTCTGCCATGGAAAGGCCTCTGGTCAGCCTGGTCTCCAGGCCCTGTAGGCTGGAAAGAAGCTAAGCAAGCCCAGGAAGCCCTGCCTCCCAGCTGTTTCTTTCACAGCTCTTGCTGGCCACAGTGTTTCATAATGAGGATTATTCCAGAGCAGGCGGTGAATGTGTTTTCTGAGCTTCCATTTTGGTTTAATATGCTTCGGGTTACCTCGCCGGCTGCCAGAGGTTGCAAAGTGGGTTTGGGGGTTTGTTGCCCTTGCTGGTTCCCCACCTCCGCCCACTCTCCTCTCCCCAGGGCTGTCTGAAGACATAAGCTTGTCTCATGATCAAGCCTAGGCAGCCAAGGGCAACTGGCCAGGGCTGACTCTGGACATTACATAACTAGAAGTCTGTGGATGTTTCCAAAATTGAATCCAAAGCAACAGGTTCCACAGAATTAGTACATCTAGCCTCAGGCTTCAGGACACAGGAATAATGAGGCCTGGAAGTCAGCCTCGGATGGCTGGGGACCACCCGTGGGCTGTGTCACTCCCCCACTCAGTTCTACCTGGACATTAAGGCTTGTCTCCTCTGGGGAGTTTCCAGGCCCATGGGTTCTCACCCTCATCCCATTAGATGGATTAGCATTCCCCAAATCCCTATTGCATGCCAGGTCCCACCCTAATTGCTGGGCGTATAAACTTGAGCAGTGAGTAAAAGGGCTGGCAGTTCACTTGGGCCTGAGCACATCCCATATTGAACTTCTGATTAGTCAAGCACATGCCTCTTCTCTCCCAACCTGATTGTAGTTCCTAAAGCTAGAAACTGGATCTTCCTCGTGGTTCTCTGGTTCCTGGCACAGAGCTGCATAGGTAGGGAGGTGCTTACAAAGGTGGGGTGATGGACCAGTTGCTGAATTATTCAAGATGAAGCCCCAGTCCTCTGAGCTCAGGCAAACATAAGTATACCCTCCTGGCATCCACTGCTAGCTCCTGCGTAGAAGAGACACTGCCAGTACCGTAGAGCACTTAGAATGCCTAAACTGGAAGGGCTCTTATGGGCACCATGCCCAACCCCACACTGTTAACAGATGGCAAAACTGAAGCCCCAGAAAAGGGTTGAGTCCAAGGTCAACGAGTTATTTAGGAGTGGAGCTGAGAATAGGATGCAAGTCCTCGAGATTTCAAATCTGATGTTCTTTTTTTTTAAGGCATACTTCCTTAATGTGCTTTATAATGCTCATATGCTCAGTAATCTGTTTAATGATACACACATGCTTAGGAAACATTGCTAACTATTTAGGATTCAAGAAGACAATCAAGCTGGGAAAATAATAAAAGAAGGTGCAGTGCCTACCTTGGGATAAGGCTCCTGTGAACACACAGGTTCAATATAAAGAAGAGAGAGGTGTAAACCTAAGTTGTAATCTTAGCAGACTGCACGAGACCTGTAGACATCGTTGAGTTCCAGAAAATCGGAGCTCAGAGAGCCAACAGAGACGATCTAGTCCAACCCCTCAGTTTGCAATTAGTCTGGGAAGACTAAG